AAATATATGCATTATCATCATCATCTCAGTGTTGGATCAGCCCCATTACCCTGAGAGCTCAGTGATTTACACATGAAGTGTAGAGACTTCCATCGTCTGTTAATACATTTTCCCATGATGTACGAGTTTCTTCCATGCTCCATCATAAAGTTCCATCTCTGGCTTTTCCATAGTCTGCAAAATAACATGAATCCCTCCCTGACATTAAACAGGACTGTTCAATTCAAAGGAATATTTTCCAACTTGAACTGAACAAATATTCTAAGAGAAGCAAGTTACTAATCACCACAAAAGCCTATGTATACTAAACAGCGAAGACCCAAACACACATGCCCTTTCTCTTTGTCCTGTTCCAGCTAATGCCACGTCACAGATCACATGACAAACCGCAAAAGAAGGAAATCTAACTGATGACATCGCCTAGTTTATAAACAACTTTGCTTTGGCAACACTGTGACAAATCTCATAGACTGACAATCCCTGATTCCAAACCCCACCCACTGACTCATGATTCCCCTCAGTGAATAAAGCCTGGTATAATCAAACACACACAAACATGCACACTGTTTATGAACAAATTTGTGATAATAACCGATAAAATATTAAAATTCAAGATGCCTTTGTATACCATGAATATTCATATTCACTACCGTTCATAAAATATCATAGTTTGGGATCAATAAGATTGCTCTTTTGTAAGAAATACTTTTATTCAACACAGATGGATTAAACTGATCAAAAGTTACAGCAAATAAATTTGCTACAGGAGATTTTCATTTAAAAAATGCTGTTCTTTTGAACTTTTTATTCATTGAAGAACGCAAAACAATTATTACGGTTTTCACAAAAATATGAAACAGGACAACTGTTTCCAATATTGATAATAATAAGAAATATCTTTTGAGCAGCAAATCAGCAAATTAATGATTTCTGAAGCATTGTGTGACACTGAAGACAGGAGTAATGGTGGCTGAAAATTCAGCTTTGTCATTAGAGTAATAAATTAAACTATAAAATATATTAAAACAGAAACAGTGATTTAAACTTTTTACCATATTTCACAATATAGTTTTTTTTCTGTATTTTTGATCAAATAAATGCAGCCTTGGTGAGCATAAGATACTTCTTTCAAAAACATGAAACCCCAAACTTTTGAAGAGTAGTGTGATTATTAAAATGTTTTTATATGATCATGGAATGCAAAATAAAGCGTATCAGATTTCTGAAAGGGATTGTCATATGTTTCAGTCCTTATACTTCTCTCTGCCCCAAAGATTAATGAAGACCATATATTATGCCACAGTATGTGAACAACAATGCCAACCTCTTACCATTACCTACAATTTCAGACAAAAGCTGATATAGACAAATAAATTGAGCCCATTAAAAAAACCTTTAATTACAATAATATTAATTTCATCTGTTTGTTGTATGACCACAAAGTGTATTATTTATTGTTTTTCTTTTTCAAGCAATAACACCATTAAAACAATGAACTTTTAAAAGTATGATATTAATAATCATGAATGTTCTGTGCAGAAATTAGGTAGCTCAGCTACATTAAATATGTGCATTTGTTTGCAAAGGTGATATGCTAATATATCAGCATGAACTATGTGCTCAGTGTCCAGAACTCTGAGCTCTGATTGGATGCTAACTGGGGTCTTTGTGATGGCTGTGGTGCTGTCCTCCTCCTGTGATTGGCTGAGCTGTTCATTGTGCTCAAAAATATGGTGGTCTATGTGGTGGCTGAAAAACAAGAAGAGGAGCTTTTGAGATCTACACAAGATGTGCTTGCATTTAAGATCTGCAGATTTATTGTGATCCAGCAGAATGACTCCAGAGAAGGAGCATCCCAAACCTCAAGAGCCAAACCTACAACCCTGAAAGCAATGCTTATGTCACCAACACTCTCATAAAACAAACTCCACCAGATCAATGCAGAGCCATCACCAAACAAACCCATCATATACACTTATGAGCAGACTCGTGCATGCAAAATCTCTTTATAGACCCATTTAAACAGTCATAATTGCTCACCAGCATTCCACCTGGAGCTGCAGGCCCTCCGTATGGTCCCATGGGCCCTGGACCGAAGCCTCCTGGTGGGCCAGGTTGAGGAGGGAAGCCCCCTCCGGGTGGACCCCAGGATCCTGCTGGTACTGGGGGAAACATTCCTCCTCCATATCCTGGGCCTCCATCTAGTGGAAAGGCACCAGGGCCTCCTGGGCCGTACATGCCAGGCCCAGATGGACCTGGCGGGTAAGGCACATTTGGATATGGGCCCTGTGGAGCCCCAGGTGGGGAGGGGAACTGTCCAGGAACGGGGTATGGCACGGGTGCCCCACCTGGTGGGAACTGACCTGGCATCGAGGGGAACTGTCCTGGAGCTCCAGGGTTGGAGGGGAACTGTCCAGGTACGCCCGGTCCTGGAGGGTATCCACCTGGGGCAGCAGGGGCTCCGGGAAACTGGCCTGGGGCTCCTGGGCCAGGTGGAAAGTGACATGGGGCAGACGGCCCAGTTTGAGGGAAGCCAGGTGCTGTTGGTTGGGCAGGGCCTCCTGAGGGTGGGAAATGAGGGCCACCAGGGGCTGCACCAGGCCAGCCAGGATTAGTGGGGGGCAGAGCCCCATTTCCAGGAGCTGATGGATTAGTGTGTTTATTTTTCGATGCTTCACTAGAAACATTATCTGGGATTGCGTCAGCAAGCTTCAGAAAGAGAATGCAGAAAAATCACAGCAAATAAAACACTAGCTGAGAGTTATCAGAGAGACTTTTGGTCTGATATTATCATCGCAAAGCCAAAGACTAACTAGGACAAACAGTGGGGTCCAAAAGTCTGAAACCAGATTAAAAATATGAGATTGAAAACAAAATTAAACCTGTAAATAAACAGAAAATTGTAGGAGTGTGTAAAAAAATAACACTATGATGTTAAATGAATGATTTTTAATATTTCACAATATTTCTAGGTATTACTAGCTAATTAAATAAACAAATTTGTGACATTTGACATTCTTTTGACAAAAGGTTAGACATTTTTGCTTCCACTGAAGTACAAGATGCTCTGTGGATCAAATAATGCTGGACAACATGATCATCAGGCTTGTGGAGTTCATGCAGCTTAGGTGCTGCTGTCATTAAACACATTTTTTATTAAATATGTTTTACTTTAACTTATACTGTTCTTATGCTGATAATTAAAATAATTATATTTAATTATAATAAAGTATAACAACATTTCATTTTATACATTTTTAATAAAAATAGGTCATTTCTATAATTAAATTATAAAAGAATGCATAACAGAAACTTTTTCACTAGTGGGTTTATGCTGGTCTCACTGTATTATACACTGGATATTCTGGTATATCTCTACTATTTTTCATTTAATTATTGAATATATGCGCCGAATAAAGATATTATATCAATGAAACTAAGAAATTTAAATAACTGGTTCTACTGCTGGCAACACGGATACAATGTCTTACTTTACTAACACAGGAGAAAATACAGCCTAAAGTAATACAAATGAACTATTGAAACTATTGAACAAAATTATACAGAAAACACTTACCGAAAAGTCTGCCATGGCCTAAACAGACACAAACAGTGACACTTAGTGACATGCAGCTGTATACAATTCAGATTCTGTCATAAGTCTAGTACATGTACTAGTTATACAGACGCTAACAGAGCGTAACGTTAACGTCACTGTATCAAACACACTCTGGCAAATATTTAAGTTATACTTTACAATGTAAGATTAAATCAGGCATTCCAGCTCCACATAGTTTAATCTGTGTAGTGCTATACATGCGCATTTGCGTGAAATGTTAGCAGTTTTGTGGGCATCAGTAACGTTACCTCGACTGGATCAGGGCCTGCGGTCCGAGGATTGGGGGTTCAGAGCAGCACCAGGTCCCGTCGCCCGAAAAGATCCTAAAGTCAGAATTACTAAACTCTATACAGGAAGTGAGGTGACAACTGGAACATCGAGGGTTTTCAACAGCGTGTTTGAAAACATCGTGAGCGCCAAATAATATGGATGACACATTAACTACTGTAGTTAAAGGAACAGAACAATCTACTGTGTTTATAGATCAGATATGAGCGTAATGCAGGCGCAAGCTCCCCGATGGGCGTGTCCTCTGAGGGATGGGCCAGCTCATCTGCGCATGCGCAGGGGTTACTGACGAAGGGGGCGTTTTCACCCCTGGGAGGCTTAAAATATAACAACCATAATAACAACTGGCTTAGAAACTTTTCCAGTTTTCTAAATGCCACTTTCCACGAATAGCGCCTTGAAAAGGAGAGGTGTTTCCAACAAATGGTGAATGTTGACAAAATTGTTTCGGGTTTGTAGTTACTGATACATTTATATTTTCCATAAATTAAGAAAAAAATATTTTTTAATGCTTATATCATATACAAATAAAAAAGACTCTAAAGCTTAAAAAGGAGTGGGACTACAACATGTTAATAGCTACATGTCTGTAGCTATTTCTGAATGTGCTTTTAAGTGAAATACGTTCTGTATATTTTATTATTATTATTATTATCATCATTTTAAACACCAAAGTCACTTGTACATTGAATATTACTTTTACTCTACAGTAAATAAATTAATTATGGCACATTTGCGTGCATTTCATATACCCATTTATTTTATTTTGAACGAATAGCTGGCAATATATCTAAATCCTCTAATTTCCTCGTAGGGTGGAGAAAAGTGTGCATCCGATAGTTCTTTCCATGAGCATCAGTTCATGCCTAAATGCTGCTGTTCTGGGATCAGACAGATCTCGTCCTTCTATGGGTGACAATAAACTGATCCTAGTACAGACGTTTATGCAAATTGTGGCGCGTTCCAGTGCTCTGATTGGTCGAACGAGCGTCACGAGACGCGGCACGGTAGAACTCCTGCACTGCTGAGCTTGTGCCGTCTGTGAAAATGGTGAGTACAAAAACTGCCTTGGATTAATAAAAACATTTGTATGGCGGCCCTCTCTTGTAGGATGTATAATAACACGGAGGCATTTACAAATAACGCCGTACGCCTCAACGGTCTGGGATACGTGTATGTTAGAGTTTTTTTTATATTTTTTTTTTAGCCCTGTTGCAGTTCCACCCAGTGCTTTGTGATGAGCTGCATGTCAACCCCTCTCTGGCATTACACCGACTTCATAAAGTTTACCAAAATAATGGCACGTTTGGCGTTAAATATACCCCAAATCTCTGTTTTGAATTTTCACGAGATAGGCTCGCCTTACGTAATTGCGATATGATGGAATTCCGGCGGCTCTGGGGGAATTCTCATTTCCTGTTGCAGCCGTGCTCACACTTCAGTATTTCAAGGAAATTTGGGAAATCTGCTAAGCGACAAAGAGACGGTGTGGCTCCTTTACTTTGAATAGCACGTCAAGCCACGATCAAACAATGTAATCCAATCAGAGCAGAAATGACAAGCAATGTAATGAAATAAACGCGGATTCTTTGCATGCCACCAACACTGCACGTCAAAACACGTTTGCTTACTTCGTCCGCCTCATCGACAGCTAAGAAGGTGATTGTTCTCCTGATGACACCAGTGTGATGATGACCTACACTGGTTGTCATGGTGCATGACTTTTGTGAACTCCTTTTCCTTGTGATGTTGTGTGCCAGAGTAGACAGGTGGTTTTATTGTTGAGTTGGCTGTATTGAAACAGAATTACACAATCAGAAGAAATAGCCAATAATTTCCATCCAGGTCAATATTTGGAGGCTCCACTATCTAAGCTGATATGTACATCTGGTAGTACTAAAACCAAATAAGCTAAAAAAATGTGAGTTTAATGTTGCACATTTGTATTTTTGCGTTTCCAGCATTTGTACACATTTGTATTTTTGTGTTTTTTAGTAGTGTAATTAATATTTTATTAATATAACTACATTTATATAATTGTAAGACTTATTGTGCCCCCCAAAACTTTGCAAAGGCCCCCAGTTGAGAACCAATACTTTGACAAACTCTGAACCCTGAGTGTGTCCCTAACCTGTATGCCTCTTAATCAAAGAGATTAATTGGGAGTTTCTCCAGCTATGTAGCCGGTTATGAATTATGTATACACTACTACTATTCAAAAGTTTGGACGCAATTAACTAAGCAGACTGAAAATAGTAATAAAGCTGACTGACATGTGGAAAATAGTAACAATAATGTTTGTGTGTGTGCAGAGTGAGTCTTTAGTTGTGTGTGAGGTGGACGAAGACCTGGTGAAAAAGTTGCGGGATTTCCGCTTCAGGAAGGAGACTAATAATGCCGCCATCATCAGTGAGTCAAACTGAAATTAAACTCTTACACACTCAAGCTGTTCCATATATGCTTACACTTTCTCATATAGCGTAAGGACTGAATGCTGATATTGCTGTTTTTGTCCTCTGGTTACAGTGAAGATTGATAAAGACAAACAGCTGGTGATTCTGGAGGAGGAGCATGAGGTAAATACACACTGTTATTGCATCAACATGCAATACATAGCTTTCTAGTGGGACTAATAATTGAGCAGATTAGTGGTGTAAACCAGGGTTTGATTTCTCCTTGTAGGATATTTCCCCTGAAGACCTGAAGAATGAGCTACCAGAGAGACAGCCCAGATATCCTTCACTAAAACAAAACTCACTCTGTGCAGTACTGTGATTAAACTCATGAAATGTGTCTATTCAACATTAAACAATCATTGGATTCCTTAACCTGTGACACATTTGTAGTCTACAGCTATAAGTACCAGCACGATGATGGGAGAGTGTCCTACCCTCTGTGTTTTATCTTCTCCAGTCCTGTTGGTAAAGAAAATGCACTTATTCAATAGTCAATATGCACAAACCCTGTTATAATTGGCAGTTTCTCCAAAAATGAAACTTCTCTAAAATGAAACTGAATTTCCCAGGATGCAAACCTGAGCAGCAGATGATGTACGCCGGCAGCAAAAACAAACTGGTACAGACGGTTGAACTGACCAAGGTGAGCTCTAACTAACACACCTAACCTTACACCCAGTGATGTTGTGGAAATTCTTTTTTTAATTTGCCTGTATCTGCTTTCTCTCAGGTGTTTGAGATCAGGAACACTGAAGACTTGACAGAGGAGTGGCTCCGAGAGAAACTGGGCTTCTTCCGCTAAGAAAGGACAGAACAAGCTAACATTCGTCTTAAGAGTGACCGAGATGGGACCATCACCTCCAAACGGAGAGAATACCATAGTCCATCTGATAATGTCTGTTTGTGTATGTTTGAATGCTTCTGCCCAAACTCTAAACCCGCCTGTACCAGTTTAAGATGACAGAAATATGAGGTGCAAAGAAATGAAAATGTGAAAGCAAATTCCACATATACACTGAACAATTCCTTGGATTTTTAAAACCATTCCGCTCTCATCCCTGAGCAGTAACGCATGTACTGGCCTGCATAGGTGGTCCAGTCTTACTGCCATGATAGTTGGATGACATGTTGCGATTTTATGTCAGCTATCCTTCATGATAGATGACATGGCAACAGATTTAAACATTGTAAAAGTCTATCATGTAGCATGTTTTGCCCGTTTTGATATAAAATCACATAAGTCTTCATGTAATGCCCTGATAAGGGCCAAACATTTTCTTCCTTTGTAAAGCATTTTCTAACTTTAATTTGACCAAACATTAATTATTTTGGTTTGATATGTGTTGAACAGTAACGGTAGCTGAAGAGGTCAGAACAGAAGTCTTACTGATATTTTTGGGAGAAATTGTTTACTGTTTCTGACCTGTTGTCATAAATTCATTATTTTTTGCCTTTTTAAATCTGCTCACAGCGTGATAAACAAATCTCGACTAAAGATCTAGAATCTGAGGACAATTGGGTGAAAGTTCTGGGACTAATTTTACTTGATTTAGTGTTTTTGGGAGAGGGGACATAGAATTCGTCACCTGGATGTCCTTGATCACAGATCTGCCCTACCTTTTTGGAGATGTGTAGGTTTAGATGTACATCGGCAGAGATGTGCTATGGTGTTATTCTGCCACAGGCAGGCAATCATCTAATTCATCTGTTAGTTATTCTAAATTAATCTTTCTCACTGTCCAACTAAACGCTGGAATAAAGCTGGTGTCACTATTCTTAAGGTTATTCAAAGCATCACTATTTCCGTATTTATGTAAAAAATCAATCTTTCTATTGGCAAAATGTAAACACTGGAAATTTCTTAAATGTTCAAAGCTTAACAGAGTAGTATGAATAATTTAAGGAAGTGATGCTATTATGGGTTTGATAAGTAATACCTCGGCAGATCTCGCATCTTTCAGAATTTGTGAGCTCTAATGTGGGTCAGGCTCATCTCTGTACATCTGTAGAACCTGTAACACCTGTGATTAGTGCTGTTTCCTACTAAACACTGTTTGCTCACTTTGGTGGCTTGTATGATGTGGACATCACATGATTTGTCCCATACAGTAGTCAACTGTGTATGTGTTTAATATTTAATTTTTAATGACTGAAGAAGCTTTTACTGATCATTTATAACTCAAGTTCTCTCTTGAAACCAGAAAAATGGTTAACCTTTTAATATGTCTCAATTACATTTGTCTGCTGTTTTGAATAATTAAATAAAAGTTTTTTTCCTTGAAAAATTTGACCATATGCTTAACTGGAGTGCTCTTGATTGATATTGACACCTTGTTCTATTTTTAAAGGTTGAAATAATGTCTGATACAAAATATAATTACACTGAATGTTAACATGGTAAATATGGGTACGTTACTGGTTTTAGCAAAGTTTACTGGTGGGAGTGACTAATGAATACTGGCGATTAATACTTAAGACTACAATGAAGATTTAGTAAAGGATTTTCTGCATTCTATCCTGCTTACTTGGGTAGGAAGTATCTGGTAACAGAGCAAATGTAATTCCGTTACAAACAGACATGGTAATTTAGCCAGGCTCATTACCTTGTGGCTATTCTATGTTCCACAAATGCTGGGTTTGCATTAGTAAACCAATATGTGACCCTGGAGCACAAAACCAGTCTCAAGTCGCTGGGGTATATTTGCAGCAATAGCCAAAAATATATTGTATGGGTCAAAATTATATATTTTTCTTTTATGCCAAAAATCATTAATATATTAAGTAAAGATCATGCTCCATGAAGATATTTGGTAAATTTCCTACTGTAAATATATTAAAACTTCATTTTTGATTAGTAATATGCATTGCTAAGAACTTCATTTGGACAACTTTAAAGGTGATTTTTTTTCAGTATTTTTGATTTCTTTGCACCCTCAGATTCCAGATATTTAAATAATTATATCTCCGCCAAATATTGTCCTATCATAACAAACCATATCAATGGACAGCTTTCAGATGATGTATATTAGGTGATAATGTAATAATGATCACATATTAGGTCAATGGTTCAAGAATTAGAGATCTACCGACAGTAATTTTTATGTGGTTTTGATTTTATCTGGGTCTGGAATGACATTTTTATTTATTTATTTTTATTTATTTATACTAGGGTTTCCCCTGATCTCGCGTTTTTTCGAGTATCCATGTGACTTTTTCAGTCACGTGACGTACAGCTGTCTCAACATCACAGCGGTAGTCGGTCTGGGTATAAATGTGGACTACCAAACCTTTAAGATCTCCAGACGTTTTTGTATCACAAATAAAATTAGAGAAGTATCATACAAGATCGTTCATCGTATTTATCCTGTAAAACAGGTAATGGCACAGTTTTGTAAAGACATTGACTTGAAGTGTGCTTTCTGTAAAGAGTAAAATGAGAGTATTGATCATTTATTTTATGATTGTATTTATACAAAATTATTTTGGTGTGATTTGTTTTTTTTTTGTTAAACAAAGTATTAATATTGAATTGCAACTCAAAGAAAAGGATGTTTTATTTTTTTATGAGTATACTGTTGACTTCAAGATTTGGTATATTGTGAATTTACTCATTATATATAGAAAATTCTTTATTCACAAATGTAAATGGGCAGTGAAAAAACCTAATTTGACTCATTTCAAAATAGAAATAGGTCACTACTTGTATACGTTAAAAGAAACAAGAAATAACAAAGCAAAAAAACAAAACTGTAAATTACTTTAAAGCCTTAAATCTATTCTTTGAATAATTTGTAATTATTTGTACTTGTTTACAGATGTGAGATTTTTTTAAATTATTTTTCTTATTTAATTTTTATTTATTTATTTTAAGTATTTGTTTTCATTCAGTTTAAATGTTATTGCCCTTATATGTTCTTTGTTCTAAAAATTGCAATAAAAAAAAAAAAGTGGACTACCAGAAACGGTTGAGCATGTTCTTTTAATATGTATAGCGTATGAAAGGGAAAGACATCAGATGTTCCAAGAACTGGAACTGATGGGAATTAACAGTATATCTCTAAAGACACTATTAGGTTATGGGGTAATGCAATCAAGAATATATGGAGAATTGTTTAAGTATTTTAAAAAGACAAGATTACTGGAAAGAGTTTGAAGTTTGGAATTTTGTATTTATTTACGTAAACATTTTTTGGTTTATTTTATTATTATTATTTAAAATATATATTTTTAATTGTTTTATCTTTAATAGTTGAATAATTCATAACTGAACCGTGTGCGGTTCACACTCCAGACCAGTAGGTGGCGGACATGCACCTTTAACGTTGGTTTGCCAATCCGCCAAAAAAACTCGAGAGAAGAAGAAGAAGAAGAAGAAGTCGGTCTGGATAATTCCACATGAGCGAAAAATGGCGTTCACATTCGCGGCCTTTTGTTATATGCTGGCGCTACTGCTGACGGCGGCGCTTATCTTCTTCGCTATTTGGCATGTAAGTATTTAGATTAAACTCCTACCGAATTGTGGAGACTTTGAGCACACAGATACTCGGCGGATAGTAACATTAGTTAGACACTGCAGAGCGCGAATGAATGGCACGAACGCGAGCTGGTGACACCCATTATTATCATCACCGCTATTTTTCCGTTAAACAGTTAGGGGCCTTCCGTGTTATCTACAGAGTTTGCCACATTAATGCACCCTATGTTTATCAATTAGTCATATCTGTTAGTGGTGACCAGGGGCGGATGGGCGCGCGCTGTTGTTTAGCTCTCGGTCATGTGTTCACAGATCTGTGATAAATCAGAACTGCTGATAAAATCAACAACATAAAACAAACGCCAATAAACAATAAAACCCCGATGCAGTGAAATCACTTATACATGATCCTCTCAGTCTAGAGTCCCTGGGTCTGGCTGCATCATTTGGGCTTTGCATGTAAGATTGAGACATAACCGTTTATTTGTTGTTAAAATTGGAGTCACATTTTGAGTTATTTGCGGACAGAACAGCACCACTGTTCAGATCTCTTAGGCTGATTCATTGCTGGCTGATGCCATTAACCTGTTTCCGGGATAATAACACTTTCATAACCAGCATCACATTTCTGCCTAATATGCTAGATGCAGACAAATGTCACAACAGTAAAAGGAATATTGATTTCCACCCTTATTTTCCCAAGATTAAGGGATAATGTTTGAATGATTCAGGCGTAATGAATAATACACTGCATATGTTCTGAATTTGGGATGCGACATAAACATAACACTTGAGTTTACAGATTAATCAAAGAGAAAAGCATAAAGATCTCTGGCGTTTCTCTAAAGTAGTTTCAATTTACATCATCTCTCCTGCATCACAAATCTCCTAAAATATTAAGTTCTTTAAGATTTGATGTTTGCGATTCATGTTTGTTTATAATTTAATATGAATTTTAAATTGAATTAATTAATTCAGCACATTAAAAGAAAATTAAAAGTGTTGATTCTTAAAGAATAACATATTCCTGACACATGACAGTGTAGGATCTGTGATTGCATATTTATCATATTGATCATGTACTGTTTTTGTCCTCCCTGTTTTTTAGATAATTGCATTTGATGAGCTGAAGACTGACTATAAGAATCCTATAGACCAATGTAACACGTTAAACCCGGTAAGAGAGAGGTTTTGGAAAGATGGCGTGTGATGCATGCACTCCTGTTTCTTCTCTTCTATCTCAACACTGTTCTGCTAATCGATGAAATCATCTGCAGTGAATGTTGCTTTCCAACACTAACACTACTTTAGTTCGATTTTTCTGATTTGCATTTTGTGTC